CACGTAGTTTAATGGGAGGGCATACAACACGTACATGAAGGGAATCTGAAACACAATGTTACCCACTGTAAACATTACCTGGGTGTTGACGAAGTCATTACCTTCCATCCCAATGGATTCTTTTATGCCACCGATATAGGCATTAGTCAAGTTTGTCTGGTCTAAATATTTGACCCAATAGGCCATGAGGGAGTAGAATGTCAACAAGATGTCAATTTTCGTGATAACCTTCTTTTCTTCCGGCGTGTCCTCGTCATGGAACCATTTGTACCATTTCCTACTCTTCTTCGACTGAGTGGTTACTCGATACTCATATTCATCGAAAAACTTCCACCATGGACGATTCTTTTCATCACGATACTCAATAAGTGATTCTTGTTGCTTGGGACTGGAAATTGAATGTGCAACTTCCAATTTGGAATCAGTCTTTTCGATACTTCCTCCTTCACCTGTGGGGGTGGATAAGTCAGGATCGTCAAGGTCTAAGAAGTTCCCATGTTCGTCTTCATCTACGATTCTTCTCACTGGGAAAATACCCCATTTAAGTCTTTGGAATGGTGTCACCACAGCAGCCATTTTTGGATGAAAGAAAACTAATGTTCATCTTTTTCAGCACTCGTTATGTGCTTAATATATATATGTTGCATTTTGTAATGTTCTTGCGGTGGTGATTTAGGAGGTTTCACAGCTGTGGCGTCAATTTGCACAATCTATTTGAACATTTCTATTCTTTGATAGAGTTTGCAAAACAAGGTTTTTGATTGTTTGAATGGTTTTGTGTCTTTATTGTAAAACAATTCAGATTTGCACGTGACTAACATCGATGATTTCTGAAATCCTTTTGTTTATGGCATCACAATATCGATTGTAGGGGGTCTATAAATAGGTCGTTTTCGCCAAACAATTAGGCGTTGATCTTACATAATCAGTCCGATGTACAAATTATTCTCAATTAAAGCTGACAGAGATCACAAGACTAGAAGGTGACGTTGTATGTTTTGCAATTGAAAAAAAGTCCACAGTTTCCAAAAGATCATCAAAAGAGGATGCATTAATATGCTGCAGCTGGGAAGATTGAAGAGTCTGGTGATAAACATAGTCTGACACTCTATTGCCCTGAAAATAGAATGGGAAGCAAGACATTTACAATCCTCGATCGTTTGTCTATGTCTTGACTGAACCCTTCTTCCACTACCGGAATTCCATTTGATAAGCTTAGTGTTGTGCCGTAGTATTTTTCCTTTACCGGGTTTCTCCTATGATTTTGACCCCGTGTAGTAGTCTACTTTCAACTGCAGAAACATTTCAGTTATACATCTTCCAGTGCAAAAAAAGTGACAGCTTGTTAAAGTTGGCCACAGATGACTTTACTTATATGCTTCTTTCTTGATTAGCCAAAGAATAGCTAGGTGGCTGAGTATCTAAATGCACGTGGTAACTCTTTCCACCAACTACCAAAATAAAAGCGTAATATCACGTCACACTTTTTTCTTTAAAATGAACGTTGCTACACCCACATGGGCTGTTTCTGTAAGCTGCAGAAAAAATAGTTGCAAAACATTGGGGGAAGGGAAAAAAAGGCACGGGGTGAGGAGGCACGGGGGATGGGATGTGCGCGGGGAACGGAGTTTATTCTTTTTGAGATGAAGGGCTCCTTGCAAAACCAAAACAAACAAAATGTCTATCAATTGTTTAGTCGCCACGTTGTGGGTATTTACACTCTCAGCCTTTGTAGATGTGGCTACGCTTTTGTTTTTGATAGAGTAGCAGAAGATTCATAAATCATTCGTCTCCTCTCTTAGATAAATTATCTATTCTTCAGCTTTTGTTAAAGGATAAGGTACAAAGCTATAGTAAATTTATCTAATCAACCAAGCTCATAGATAAAGTTTCAAGTGGAGTCGTTATCAATAATCAGCTGGTGGAAATCATCACAACTTTAACAAACAAAATCCTGAGAAGGAGAGAAAGAGAAAAAAAAATAAAATTTTTATTTTTTATTCTTTTATTTTTTTTATTTTCAAAAAAAATTCTATCGAGTCACTACTTTAGGAGTTATCTTTCTTTTTGAAACTAAGTGTTTTTATCCACAACATATATACGTGTCCCACCTAAGTTTTGCATAAACCAGCATCATACATGAATCATTCGTCAATATGGAGGTCAATAACTCATCTACTGCAAATGTTGTGAGTGGACCTGGTATTACACATCATCATCATCATCAATCATTAGATCAAAAACACAAATGGCAACAACAACAACAACAACAATCCACAGACAACCCACCAAAGACACGGCTTCCTATAATAAACGCAGCTAATACAGATCCGCAGCTGATGCTTAAAGCCTCCCCGTTGGAATCGGATCCTTCGAAAAGTCGAACTTGTGCCGATACATCATCATACAAAGAAGCAGTAACTTCAGGACCTGATCACACACAGAAATCAAATGATACGACAAATAATCCACCAATACCATCGTTGAAATATCAAATGACACCAAGTGATACACCAGTAGCATCAAACCAACTCACTGGAAGAAAAGCTGCTCGATCTTTGCGAATATTTAGAGATATAGGTCAAGATGGGGTAGTGGTTGAAGAAGAAGTGTCAAACGATAATAATCAAACAAAGTCCTCATCCTTGGCTGAAAAGTTAGGTGCGAAGGAGACCGAACTAGAACCTGTATCGTCAGCAACATATATTCCCCATACGCCAGCGACATTGGATAATAACCGTGGTGCTAATTTGGACGAGATTGTGCCTCATGGGATACAAGATTCTGTTTCGCCTGTCTTGGCTATAAAGCCGCAACACTTGACTGCTAATTTAGAGTTTGACCATGGTCTTAATGGCGATATCACCAAGATAATTTCCATTTTGGATAAGAACAAAGCGTCTGAGAATGATACGGATAAACCAAATGGCGAAGATTGTGTTGGGTCACCAATTATTTCTCGAGTATGCAGTCCTACAAAGGAACTCTATGAGGCAGATGTTGTCAATGAGTACACCAAGCAAGCTGAAGGTAAATCTGCAAATAATGCAAGCTCCCCTGAATCCGAAACTGAGTTCCCATTAGCTGTGGAATTGAGACCATTCAAGAATAAAGTTGGTGGACATACGGCCATTTTCTCATTTTCAAAAGAAGCGGTGTGCAAAGCGCTAGTAAATAGAGAAAATATTTTCTATGAAAGTATAGAAATTCATCATCCTGAGCTTTTGAAATTTATGCCAAGGTATATTGGCGTTTTAAATGTGCGGTATTCGAGTTTAATTAATGAACATGTTGATGCAGAGGAAAATGGCACTAAAGAAGATCAAAAGGTTGACGGTTTCCACAAGTTGCGTCGTAAATCGGAAAACATGCCACCGGAAGTTGTTCTTGATGATAATAAACACATTATTCCTGATACTTTGTGGAAACATTATTCAGGATCTATGCCCTCACCTAAATCTTCATTCATGGATAGTCCCAAACAAAGTCCAATTCCAAGTTTAACCAATTCACCTTCGCAACGACCAAATCCTGGTTCTACTTTGGTCAATACTGAACTACAGTTTCAAGTTTTGCAAGAAGTTTTTCAACCATTGAGACTACATGATGAGTTTTTTGAAATGGATGAAGATAGAGAACTAACGGAAAGCTTTACCCAGAATCATCAGCACCAACCGCACCATTCGGTTTCCCAACCAAGCAATGAAGTGCTACTTCGTAAACATACGCGATTTGAACGATTTATCTTACTCGAGGATTTAACTTCGCGTATGAAGAGACCTTGTGTTTTGGATTTAAAAATGGGTACAAGACAATATGGTGTTGATGCATCGTTTAAAAAACAACAATCTCAAAGACAAAAGTGTTTAACAACAACATCAAGAAAATTAGGAGTACGGTTATGTGGATTACAAATTTTCAAGTACAATAATCAAAGAATAATTAGGGATAAATATTTTGGCAGGAGAATTAAAATTGGGTTGCAGTTTTGCAAAGTGCTTGCAAAATTCTTATACAATGGGCAAGATATCCATTCCATTTTATTCCGCATCCCCCATTTAGTCAATCAGTTGCAAGCATTGTATCTGATTTTTAAAAAGTTACCGGGCTATCGCATGTATGGATCACTGATTCTCTTAATGTATGAAGGTGGGTCCATAAAGCAAGATCAACCAGCAAATGTGAGAATTATTGATTTTGCACAGCTGGTTATATCAGAAGAAGAACAAGATCATGTAAATATACCACCATCACATCCAACTCTGGTAGATTATGGTTACTTACGAGGTATTCATTCGTTGATTTTCTATTTTACGGCAATATTCCAAATCTTGAGTAAAACAAAGATTGATGATGTTGAACAGATGCAGTCTTGGATAGAAGAACATATACATGAGTTGGATGTTAATTGTCCCTGGTTGGATGATTATGCTGAAGTTGAGGGTGAAGTTGATGGTGGAGTCAATAATATTGATGTTAATGACCCGTTTAATGTTGATTTTACAATTGATGAAAATGATGAAAATATATCTGAATAGATTTTATTTAGTTAAATAAAGGTATTAATACGAAAGAAGCATGAGAGATGGGGATTTTTTTTGGACAATTAGATCTAACCCCGCCATGTTACCCCACCTATGGGGGCAAATGAGAAACATAGCAAGGAGTGTAGGTTTTATTTGGTTTGAGAACCCACCCTTACGTCACGAGTTTTCGTCTCTTACTTGTTTGTCCACAGGACCCTAAATGCAAGGCTAGACCCCCATCTTGCTGTTGTGTTACTTACTTCGCCCCTATTTATGCGTGTGTTCGTGTTTGAAGTCCGGCGTGAAACAAAAATAAAAAATACAGAAAACTAAATAATAAATAAATATTGTGTAACAATATTTAATCACCAAAGTATGTGTCACTACACGCATATCAAAACACAAAAACCCAAATTGAGTCTTTTAGACCACAAGCTATTTAGTTTTAGTTTCTTAGTTTGCTATTAGATGTATGAGAAGACGATGTAGACTACGTCATCTAGCAAACATGAAGCACCTGAAAGATAAGCATAAGCTTGAAGTTACTTCACTTGGGAGTGTTTTCTAAGTAGTAGTAGTAGTAGTAGTAGTAGTAGTAGTAGCTTAGATTGTATTGTAACAAAAGTGATGTAGATCTGATGCAAATAATGCATGGCTGTTTTACCGAGGAAAAGTAACAGTAGGACAAAACTTTGCGACAAGACAAAAAAATATAAAATCAACGACATTGAAAAAGCAAAGAGAGAGAAACAACGAGGGAAAAAAAGTGCATATAATTTAAAGTATGGACAATATATATTTATATATATATAAAAAATACATTTTTTTATTGATTCTTCACTTTTTCTTTGAACTTATTCATCAGCACAGGTTTCAATTTTACAAGCTATTGCTTACCTATTCCTATATATACTCCCCCTTTTGAGAGAAAGAAAACACTTGAAGCCATGCCACGTCGTAATAGCAACTTTCCATCCACTCCATTAATTGCCACCATTGACATTGGTACAACTTCAGCAAGAGCAATTTTGTTTTCACAAGAAGGGCAAGAGATTGCTAAACACCAAATAGAATATTCAACAACTGCATCAGAAGCACCAGAACATTCGCAAAACACCGATCAATTCAGAAGAAGATCGTCTTTGCTAAGACACGATGAACCGATTTTTTCAGCTGAAGGTATTGCCATTTCAATTACCGACAATGTTGAAATTGAAAATAATAAATCATCAGTGGGGCCCACTTTGAGATTCCCCCAACCTGGTTGGGTTGAATGTATGCCGGTTCACATTTTGGCCAATGCTGTTCAATGTTTGGTTGCTTGTTTGATTACGTTGAGAAAGATTAACCAAAACCCCAATTTAAAGGTCAAATACAAGGTTAAATGTATTGGTATTGCCAATATGAGGGAAACCACTATTGTCTGGTCGAGGAAAACTGGTAAGCCTTTGAGTGGGGGTATTACTTGGACTGACACGAGAACAGCCGAAATTGTACAACATTTGGAAAAAATGATTGACGAAGATAGAAAAGCTGAGTTAAAGGAAAAGACTGGATTGCCGTTATCTACGTATTTTTCAGCAGCAAAATTGAGATGGTTGTTGGATAATGACGATGTTATTAGAGACGAGTATGAAAAGGGCGATGGTAATTTGATGTTTGGTACTGTTGACACTTGGTTGATTTACAACTTGACCAAGGAAAAATCATTTGTTACTGACATTACCAATGCATCAAGAACTTATTTTATGGATTTAGAAACTCACGATTATGACGATGATTTATTAGATTTTTGGGGAATTGACCCAACAAGAATTAGATTACCCAAGATTGTTTCATCATCGGAATATTATGGTGCATTTACCGCACCAAATTTGTCTAATTTAGGATTCCACAATAAAATCACTCAAGAAGCTTACGATATTTTGAAGACAATTACTGGTGTTCCAATTTGTGGTTGTTTGGGTGATCAAAGTGCCTCATTGGTAGGGCAGTTGGCATTAAAACCTGGTTCAGCTAAATGTACGTATGGTACTGGTTGTTTCTTATTATACAACACTGGTCCACGCAAATTGATTAGCTCTCATGGTGCATTGACTACATTTGGATTTTGGTTTCCTTCGCTTGGAGGTGATGATGGTAAGCCGCATTATGCATTAGAAGGATCAATTGCAGTGGCTGGGTCCATCATCCAGTGGTTGAGAGATAACTTGAAGATGATTAGTAATGCCCAAGATATCGGACCTTTGGCATCACAGGTGGAAAACTCGGGTGGGGTTGTGTTCATTCCTGCATTTAGTGGATTATATGCACCATACTGGGATAGAGGTGCCAGAGGTACAATTTTTGGTATGACTCAATATACCTCAGCCTCGCATATAGCACGAGCAGCCTTGGAAGGTGTTTGTTACCAAGTACGAGCCATTTTGAAAGCAATGGGTAGTGATGCTGGATCTTCGGAACATTTTATGGAAGAAGCACGTACATCACAGGATGATAAGCAACCATTGTCGCATTTGGCGACTGATGGAGGTATGTCGAAAGCAGATGAAGTGTTGCAAATCCAAGCTGATATTTTGGGACCATGTGTGACTGTTAAACGAGCCAAAATTTCTGAATGTACTGCTTTAGGAGCAGCTATTGCTGCTGGAGTATCGTTCAAGAATGAAGAAGATCGTATATGGAAAAATTTTGATGATGTTGTAGAAAAGATTACCGGTCATTCCGACGATGCCGCCAATACATTTATTGCAGAAATGCCTGATGCAGAAAGAAGAAAGAATTGGAAACGTTGGGAAAAGGCCATTGACAGAGCCAAAGGATGGTTGGATGAAGATGACTAGGTGGTTATATTACAGCTGAATGATGAGATGAAAAAGAGACAATGAGGCAAAATGACTTTTAAAAGAAAAAAAAATGATTAAACTTATTTAAACAATCGATATAGAAATAGAATAGATAACTTGCTATAAATATTTTTTAGTGAAATGCTTAATCAAATGAGGAATCGTAATCATCAATATCAACTTGTTCATAAACGATATCAACTCCAAGACTATCAATATTGAATGAGTCATGTCCATTTTGTTGCTCCTCCTCCTCCTCCTCCTCCTCCTCCTCCTCCTCACTATTAGCTGCAGTTTTGTTATTCTTTTTGTTATCCTTGACTAATAGTAAATCATTAAAGAATTGACTTGTTTGTTTAGTTAACAGCTCAAATTTATCAGATTTGAATTGATTTTTATTAAAGAAGATATTGCCAGAATCGTCAGTAGAATCACAATTAATGTTGTTGTTGTTGTTGGTAAACATCATTGATGCCTTTTTACCCATTGTGGTACAGCACTCATCTATAGCTGACGTAATGAATGACGTTTGTTTCAATAATGTATGTTTCAAAGGCGTGGTGTTTTTCAAAGGAATGGGTGTTTTATCTAAATCAACAATCTTGAGTTGGTTTAATTGTCGTTCTGTTTCCAATGATGCTTGGTTATATATATCATGATGGCCATGAGGTTTGCGTTGGGGCGATGATGATGATTGAGATAGAAGGAGTTGCGACCTATTAAGTTCTTGTAATTGAGATTCTATATCGAGTAATTGCAACTGTTTGAGACTTAACTTTTGTTGGTAATTTTTGATTTGGGCTTGTTTTGTACTGTATTGGTTCAATAATTTGGCACGTTGTTGTTGAAAATCTAATGCTGCATTGTGGTCACTTTCCGTGCTACTCGAGGAACCAGTTGAAGGGGTGGTAACAGTGACTGTCTGGTTATGTCTACTTTGAAGCTTGATTGGGGTATGCGAAGAAGTGTTAGTCGAGGTCAGCTTAAGTGGTGACAACGTAAGTGGTGTAGTGTTTGCACCTTTCTTAGTTGGACTAGGCGCCAATTGAGGTTGAGGTTGGGGAATTGACTTTGGTTTCAACGGTGATGGAACTGGTTTAAGCTTGACCGAGTGGAAAGGTGAAGATGGTGGTGGAGCAACATTGATCTTATTAGGTGAAGTAGCACTCAAGACCCCTCTGCCACGTACATTAATTTGAGGTTGAAGGTGCTGCTTTCTAGGAGTGTTTGGGTTCGATTGAACTAATGACATTTATGCTCACAATGTATAAGATATGTATAAAAGTCAGACCCTCTGTTTCCTCTTTTTTTCTATTTCTTTCCACTTCCAATTAATATTATCAGTGCTCGATGAGTTTCTGTAATATAGTTTTAAAACACTTGATGGGGCGAATTTTGCAACTATTTTCACAAATAACATTGATTTACCAGATCAAGACAAATTGTAAACAATAAAGTTTTGCTTTTGCAACAAGCCTCACTAATAAGTACTGCATATGGTGCGTTATACTACTTTGTAAACCTAATACGGAATCTGGTCGTGTACACTTGTACAATTTTATTTCAAAATCTTCTTCTTTTTGGCATATGCTTTTGGCTCATTTTACGAAGGTTTCGAAGTAAAATCTTTCTTTAAAGCAAGAGAAATGAGAGCTCATTGTGTTGTGGGTGGCTGGCCTCTTGGATACACCAGTGGCCAGACGTATCAAAAATGTACTACCGGAGATAAAGACGGATATTAGTTACAAACCCCTTTCCTCCACAGTTCCTTCTTTGATTTTTTTAATTTTCTGCTGTTTATTTTTTTTTGCCACCCGCGCATCCGTTATAAAGGCTAGTACTGGCAATTCAGGTACATCATTTGAAGAGGAATGGGGTAATCCAGTCACCAAATTGAGACAATGGAAGATAGCCGTGTTATACCAAGGTCATAGTTATAGCTAGTGTTAATGTTAAGTTAATGCACTCCTTTTGTGGTAGTAGTAATAGTAGTAGTAGTAGTATTTCATTTCTTGCAGTTGTGTTGATAATTTTTCCGTCTTTTTTTTTTCTTTGTTTGTTTGTTTGCGTCTCTTCAAAGAAGAGAGAAAAAAATTAAATTTCATAAAAAACCTCCAAAATCCTTTTTCTTTAATTTCATCTTTTACTTCTTCTATTTCTTTTTCTTCTTCACACAGGAAAGTATTCACGTCGTTTCCCAGCCAAACTGAATTGAATTGATCCTACCTCACAGAATGTCACTATTATTCAACTTTAAGACCTTTGTATTTGGTTTGTTTGTCTACTACACCACATACTTGCACTACTACAAATGTCCATCATTAACCCCCATTGTTGAATTGGAAAACAAGATTTTACATCCATTATCCAACCAGCACTCAATCCTTTGTGAATTGGTCAATGGTGGCATTGAAAAAGCTGAACCTTATGTGAAACAAGCCCACACCTTTTTGGATAACAATGTTCATTCTCATCCATTATTTATTGAATACAAGATTGAAGAATACATCCAATGTGCTCACAATAGATTCTCCACTTATATTTACCCATTGGTTCACCAATTGTATGAGTTTACTGACGTTGCTGAAACTCGTGTTTATGATGAAGTTACTGCTTATTACAAGCAAGCTGAAGAATTTGTTCATGGTAAATTGAAACAAGATTAGAGAAGCATAGCAGAAAGCTTGCGTTTTCTTTACGATATCTCTAGTGTATAGTTTTGTTCAAATATTGTCGTCTTTTTCTTAAATATACGTCTAATACCAATAATCAAGGTTGATGCATCGTAGACCCTCTACTGTTGATATTGCGCTTCGGCAATAGAGGAATGGAAAAATTCACGTGCGGAAATGCGAGAGAGAGAGGGGGGGCACGAATGGTGGGGATGAGTTTTCCATAACAAAAACAAAACCGTGCTTAGTCAACATCTTGGTTTAAAGAGTAATGGCTGATGAGCACACTCGACTAATAGATCCTATCAATGCCTCTAATACACTCAACAATGAACAGTTACTCCACACACACGAGCCTCTACATACAGCTCATGTCGCAGCCCACACGAAGCGACTACTAAATAGTCGACATATATCGATGATCTCCATAGGTGGAATAATTGGCACTGGCTTATTCATGGGTATTCGACAAACACTCACCAATGGACCCATCATAAGTATAATTTCGTATATATACATTAGTGCGCTATGTTACTATATCATTACTGCTGTGGGCGAGATGTCATGTTTTATGCCCATCAATGGTTCTTTATGTCAGTTTCAATTCAAATTTATATCAAACCCGGTGGGAATGATGAACAACTTTGTTTATTGGCTAAGTTGGTCGATTACGCTTGGTTTGGAATTGAGTTTGATTTATGAGATATTGCGCCAATTTGGGTCAACTACAACAACAGCCCTGCTGTTGCTGCTGCTGTGGCCGATACTTCCAAATTGGATGACAAGCAAAACGGGTATAATTTTGTTAATTTGGATATTATTAACGGCAGCTAATTTATTCCCCGTTAATTACTACGGCGAAATTGAATTCATAGTAACGATTATAAAAGTTGCATTTATGATCAGTTGGATTGGCTTGAGTATATGCTTGGTTTCTTTGCAAATTGGTCTCATCAATTGGCAAAATCGCGAATTGTTATGGGGGATAAATACGATACAAGTTGTAACTAACCCCATACTCAATAAGGTGATTAATATTTTATCGTCATCTATCGTATCTTCGTGTTTTACTTTCCAATCGATTGAATCGGTGGGGATATGTTCAGGGGAAATTGAAGATATTGGTCGCAATTTACCCAAAGCAATCAAGTATATCGTCATGCGGATTGTTTTGTTTTATCTTGGTTCGTTGGTTTTGCTTACGTTGATGATTCCTAGTAATGATTCTCGGTTAATTGACAATAATGGTAATGGTGATAGTGGCCTGGCCATGACCTCGCCATTTGTTATTGCATTGATCAATTGCGGGGTTGGTGGCACTTCGATCTTGATTAATATTGTCAATTTTGTCATATTGACTTCCATGATATCGGCCGCCAATTCAAACATCTATTTCGGATCACGATGTTTGTTGTCCATGGTTGAAGAAGGATACTTTTGGCCCCAATTTGCAAAGACAACGAGGAATGGAGGTGTACCTGTCTATGCCATCTTGTTAACTTCTGCAATAGGGTTGATAATTTCCCTACTATCGAACTGGAAAAGCATGGATATCTTCCTCACATTGTTAATCAATTTGTCGGCTACTACTGGGTTACTCATGTGGCTCTTCATCCTGGTTAGCTACCTTCGGTTCCGCGCAACTTTGGAATACAATGGGTTACCGTATAATCAACTCTCGTATACTTCTTCGTCGCTGTTGTTGTTCTGCTTGCCAATGAGACAAGCTTCCTGGTTCAGTATCGTCAGTATTGTTGTGATTATATTGAGTAATGGTGTAACCAATGTTTGGCAATTTAATTGGGATTCATTCGCCAGTTGTTATTTGACGCTGATTGTGGTTATAATTGGGGTGGTTTGCTTTAGTTATAAATGGAATGAGCCGGTGTTGAAACCTGTAGCTGAGATCGATATCTTTACTGATCATTCACCAAATGCGTTTAAGTAGAAAAACAGAATAAGATATTCATGTATAAAAAGTTGCAAAAAAGAAAGAGAATAATCGTAAAGCCGCACACACGTTTTTGTTGTTTGAAGACAAAAGAAATTAAAAAACAAAAAAAAAATTTTGAGTGCGTGGTTCATTTTGTTTTTTGTTTACAATTGGGGATCCATATCGAAAGTTTATTCAACGTCTCATCTACAAAACAAAAGATAGACAGAGAGATAGATATATACCAACAGATCGAGTTAAATTGTGTACTTTGCTGATTTATTCTGCCCCCCCCCTTGTTTTTGATACCATACACCTCGCCTTTGCTAAAGAAAAACAGCTCCTCGAGACTGCTCCTATCACCAAGAGATGGCATCGTATAAATTAATCACAGTTGGAATAGTTACCTATTTGATATACGCATGGACATTTGTGTGTTCTCCAATAGCACCACTAACACAAACTGATGAATGCAAACTATCACCTATCAATTTCCATTTATGTAAAGTGAGTGATGGGTATATACGACCATATATACAACCGGTCTATGATACTCAGGTTCTTCCGAAATTAGTTGAATGGGATACGCAATGGCAGATCAGTGAGAGGGTCAGTAGTGCATGGGACGTGTATGATGAATTCGATGAGAAGTATGGAATGAGAGCAGGATTAAGTGTGGTCTTTGATGGATTAAGCAAGTTTTATAATTGGTTTGAAACTTCAGTATTGATTCATTTACAACGTGGTTTGCAATTGGGGTTGATTAAAGTTTGGTTTTGGGTTAATGTGGCGAGGACCAATGTTTGTTATGCTTTGGCACCCATTTGGTTACAATTTTATCAAGTCATGGAGAAATTTGCATCGATACCTGTAGTTAATCAAGTGTTGAAACAAGTTGAGGATGTTTATCGACAATTGATAAATTCGCCGCATGCAGCCAATTTCCATCAACGAAGTCTATTCATTCAAAAAGAGGTTAAGAACTTGATCAAGTTTGATGAATTTTCCCCACGTGAATTTAAATCCAATTTAATCCACGTAGTTAAGGACTTGCTTGGACAGAAGTATGAAAATGGAGAGGATTGGGACGGTATTACTGATGAAGAAGAAGAGACGATTGTTATCACTTCAACTATATCTGTTTATGAGAATGGGGCGTTGGTGACGGAAGACATTGAACCGGAATTGTATGAAATTTATCAAGAGATTGACTATTGGCAACAAAAGGTTGATAAAACAATCAATATAGCCAAAGTCAATCTTGAATCTGATTTACAACTCATTTTGAATCAACTGATTGAAGAATTGAAACCATTAATTAGTCAAGAGTTTCAAGAGTTGCAACAAGTCAATTATCAACAATACAAGGATATCCATAACAAGATTGCGCAAATCTATAAGGATGTGGAGAAGATCCAAACCACTAATGAAACTGCAGTTGAAGCTGTAACTCGGCAAGAAATTAGAGATGATATAGCTGCTAGTTATGCATCAGGTAAAGAATGTTCCATCAAAGTACAAGATATCTTGTCATTAACTCATGAAAAGTTACTTGTTGACTATTTCAATTTGGTTCAATCAACAATTGATATTTTAGAATCGTTTGCTGATTCATCTATAAATGAATTCAATTCACGACTTTCTTACCTTATATCTGAGCCACAGAGTCAACTCAAGGATGAACAAATTTGGCAAATTTGGAAAAAATTCCATTTGATCAAGGATCAATTTTTCCAATTTAGAGATGAATTGTTAACCAATGCTTATAAATATAAACAAGATAACAAAGCTCATGCCAATGATGTTATCGGCATGAAGTTGTGGAATGAGTATTTGAAAAATGTCGAGTATCATTTGAATTTTTTGATTAGAGATAATGCTGATTATTTACAGTTGGTGCGAGCTAAAGCAAATTTAGCATTTCAGGCGCGAGAGGAGTTGGTTTATGAGTTGACTAATGGGGAAGAAGACCTGTGGGGTAAGTAGATTGAATTTTGTGAGGGATGACGTGTGTGAATGAGACTTTTCCTTAGTTTAGTGTGTACATCAGACTGAATGGTTGCGAAAAGGACATAGGTGAGTGACTAAATCCGGCGAATTGTGTAGTTGTAATAAGACATTTTTTACATAGGAAGTTGACTCTTATTTGACCTTGTCAAATTTGACACATTTATGCTGTTTGGTTTTACTCCGTACGTCCTTAAAAGAACTGTATATTAACACACGACCGAATAACTATTGTCTTCTTCAAAATAGGTCCCTCGGTTGCTGTTCTTTTCTTTTTTGATTGTTGTAGTAATGCCCAATTGGGTAATAAATCAAAGACAATAGTTTTAAGCGCGGTGAGAGAAAAATTTATTGTCGAGAAACAAAAGAGGCGCGGCGCACTACCTGTTCTCGCCCAATTGTTTGCCCAACGCCCTTGAAGTAGAAGCTATAAACAAATTGAACTGGACTGTACTTCAGTTGAACATAACAAGGTGAGCAAAACCTTTACAAGCATATTTAAAGTCTAGAACTGGTTGTCAAAGACCCAACTACCATGGGCCGCAGCAGACATGACATTTATTGTTCGTTTTTAAAAAAGGATCGATCTTTTAGACAAAGAAAAGCTATTTCACACGACTGGTAAAGTAAAAACACAATAAGGTAGTGTATATAAATGCTCAATAAAAAAAAAGACAAAAAATTGTTGAACTCATTTTGTTGGACATTGGATGTCAAAGCAGTTGTTAATTTTTCTCTTCTACACACTATGTTCATCATAAATTGAGGTTATAATCATATCCTTCCTCTTATCAAGGTGATGTTATTCGTCTAGAATAGGGTTCCATATTCTCTTATTTTTTGTTTATTTCCCATTGAAAAAGAGAAAATAACCTGATTTATCCCTTTTTGTTTCTGTGTAACACAAAGGTAGATGGCTTAGCTGTGTCGTGAGAAGTGAAAAAGATTATGTCGCAAAAAAATCGAGCGATTTAATTAATTAATTAATTAAATGGGATAAATTGGTTGAAGAAGAATTGACTCCTATTCTCTCTGTAACAGCACAACACAATAATTATATGCAATAAAGAGAGAAAGTGGAGTGGCCAGTTAAAAATATAGTCTACTTGTAAGACAGCTCTACCTTGACATCAATGGGAATCAAAGGATACGAAAAAGTTCAAAAGATCTGCATTCTCCTTTTTTATTTTTTTTACTAAAATGAGTAGGCTTTAATTTATCTACATATCTTTCTTATCAACGACAATTTTAAATTATAGCGTGATAATAAAATTAATCGTAATAATAAGCACCATGATAATCTGAATTGCAGCTGATTAACCTGGAATGTGAGAGGGAGGGAATAATCTCCAACAAGTCGAACTGAGAGCACTTCGAATTGAAGTAGAAGAAAACATCCTCAAGAAACAGCAAGCCCCATTCACCAAAAATATGGGGTAATAACAGAGACCAACAAAAAGAAAGAATGAGGAGTAAAATGGAAGAAAGGAAGTAGAAAAAGGGACAAGAGAAGTGTCTATCAACAAAGAGCTGGAGGTAGAGTGAGTTGAGTTTCGTTTTTGCAGTCAATTTCTTTCAATTTAAACTAAACGCGTAACCGGATCTCTGCGTAATATGATTGGATGATAAGAAATCATTATGTAACAACTTCTATTATTCTTATATAATGCTTATGTAATAAATACAGAAATGGAAATAATAAAAAGAAATTTAGCAATCATGCATTGCATAATAATTTTATGTGTCTATATGCAGTATATTTGCTTAACAGCTAAGACATTTTTTTATTCAACTCTCTCTCAGACAGAAACAGAGAAAAAAAAAGAAATTTTTCTTTTGTCTTTGTAAGTATAAAGAGAAAAAGGCGATTCCATTGATCCATTTTTAGAATTTAGTCATACTAAATAATTGTCTTATATACAGTACTACTGACAACTGTTGGAATCGTATAAGAACAACTGATAATTTCCCAATCCTCATCTTATCATCAAGAATTTTTTACCAACCTTTGATTCACTTCCTTCTTTTCCAAAACCAAAAGACTAAACTGGTTTCAAACCAAACATTTGTATTTCCAATATACAAACACACTACACACACACACACAAATCCTTTCACTCCACTCAACTTAATTTAACTCCTTTTCCTTTTCTTTTCTTTTTTTAGCAACAAAAAAAAGGGAAAAAAAATAACTGAGAAAATTTTTACCGCCTTATAGACGAATAGAAACACACACCCACAACAACAACAACAACAACAACTTATAACTATCATGAGTACTTCATTAACTGAAAACACTGCGATACTATCTAAGTACCTCGATTTATCCCAAAATGGTAAAGTCCTTGCTGAATATGTCTGGATTGACGCTGAAGGTAGAACTAGATCCAAATGTAAGACTTTAAACAAGAAGCCATCTAGTGTTGATGACTTGCCAGAATGGAACTACGATGGTTCATCAACTGGTCAAGCTCCAGGTCACGATTCAGATATCTACTTGCGTCCAGTTGCCTACTACCCAGATCCATTTAGAAAAGGTGACAACATTATTGTCTTGAATGAATGTTTTAACAATGATGGTACCCCAAACAAATTTAACCACAGACACGAATGTGCTAAGTTGATGAAGGCACATGCTGATGAAGAAGTTTGGTTTGGTTTGGAACAAGAATACACCTTGTTTGACCAATTTGACTATCCTTATGGATGGCCAAAAGGAGGTTTCCCAGCTCCTCAAGGACCTTACTACTGTGGTGTCGGTACTGGTAAAGTTGTTGCTAGAGACGTCATTGAAGCTCACTATAGAGCTTGTTTATACGCTGGTATCAACATTTCTGGTATTAATGCTGAAGTTATGCCATCACAATGGGAATTCCAAGTTGGTCCTTGTGAAGGTATCGAAATGGGTGACCAATTGTGGATTGCCAGATACTTGTTGGAAAGAACTGCTGAAGAGTTTGCTGTCAAGGTTTCATTCCATCCAAAACCATTGAAGGGTGACTGGAATGGTGCTGGTTGTCACACCAACGTCTCTACCAAGAATATGAGAAAGGCCGGTGGTATGAAGGTTATTGAAGTTGCTTTGAGTAAGTTGGCCAAGAGACACAAAGAACATATGTTGTTGTATGGTGCTGACAATGATCAAAGATTAACTGGTCGTCATGAGACTGCTTCTGGTGACGCTTTCTCATCCGGTGTTGCCAACAGAGGTGCTTCAGTTAGAATCCCAAGATCTGTTGCTAAAGAAGGTTTCGGTTACTTTGAAGATAGAAGACCAGCTTCAAACATTGATCCTTACTTGGTCACTGGTATCATGGTTGAAACCATCTGTGGTTCAATTCCTGATGCTGATATGGCTAAAGAATTCCTCAGAGAAGTTGAATAAATGTGTTTCCAATAAAATTTATAATTAAAGAACAATCAAAGTGGTGAAAAACTACGAAATGGCTTATGTGTGTATAGAGAAAGATTTTAACCTTCCATCAATCCCCTACCAGTTTGGTACTTCATCAATAAAGATGCAAATGAACAAAAAATTATAGCTTCGTTTTTATATTCTGGTAAAAGAATTTTGTTTAATATTAATTCCAAGTTTTTAGACTGAATTTGTAGGAATTGTATCTGCTTTTCTAATGCGAACATCTATCTACATAGAGGTGCTAATATATGTTGCGGTTGGGCAAGATTTAACGCAAAAAAAGAACAAATAGACCCAAGGAATAAAAACACTTGCAAATCAAATTCGCAATGGTTTATCTTCTGTCAAGTGTGTTTAGAAATAGCCCTTCTTTCTCTAGTTTACGTTTTACCATTGATGCTCCCAGAGTGGGAAGAATGTATAGTCAATAGATGAGAATGAAGAGTAGGAACCAAATGAAGAGGAAAAGAAACGCTCATCTTTTGACTATTTCAGTCTGGAAGATGTCTCTCTCTATTGTTAGTAGAGTCTAGGTAGTAGTTGCTTTAATTATGTACGATTTTACTTTAAATTTGACTTTTCAGCAGTTTTTTTCTACTTTTTGCAACCAAAAAAATGAAATGAAAATCTGACTGAATCCTGCCTACGCACTTTATTGGAACTGTACAACAAACAACCAAACATATACTCTGTCTCTGATTAGTGTCATTAACTTAAACACTTAAGTTTTAATATCATATCAACGTATTTCCCACTTTGGTGTGTTGAAAATTGAAAAAAATAAGTAAACTATATGCCGGTGCCAGGAATCGAACCTGGGTTTAGTCGGAATTGCTTTTTCAGCCACAACGACTTGTACTAACCTCTATACGACACCGGCTGGATCCAAGTAAGCAACTAGGCCACACTTGAAATTATAATGAATTTGTGAGCTAGGTTTAACCAAGTAATCTAATTCGCAAAACGATTTAGAAACCCTTACCATTGATAAATCGAGCTCAAATTTCATTATTAACAAAATAGGTCTTTGAAATAGCTCTAATAGATCATGAATTTAGTATAACTAAGCAAATTTGAGTGCTACACTTTTGTGTGTGGACTAATCGACAAAAGTTTAAATTGCGTTTACTTAATTAGCAACTATAGAGGAAACATCAAACTGCAAAGCAATAAAACTTAAAGCCACATAGATTAAAATATTGGTATTCAGCTAGAATTACTCTAAAGTTGTTACAGATCATGATTGTACTCATTCCATTCACTTTTAGTCTTATGATAAAGAATATTTCGCTTCCGTTTTCAATAAACACTCTCTTTAGGCAACAAACAGGAACGAAACTGAGCCACACTCTATATTTCTAGTATCTGAATGTTATAAAAGTTTTGGAACACATCTTTTCTGTCTTACAAAATCAACATAGTAACATTAGCCCCAGTGTATCCTCTCTCCCTTATTACAATTCACACACTCGCAAAACTTGCCGTTACGTTGTTCTAAAATATTCTACAATCTAGAACATGTACGAAATTAATAACCCATGGTTATTAATGAACTATATAGCCAAGTGGATGAATGCTATTTCCTCGAATAATTACTTCTGAACCGCAAATATAGCGTTCATAAATACTTTGTGCGTATTTCACCACGAAAGTAAATACCCGAATGGCAAATAGCAGCTTGAATTATTTTCAAGTGCATCTCATCGTGAGATGAGATGTCCAATATGGAATATTATAAATATCTTGGACATAAAAGTATATAGTTTACATAGAAATAAGACATATATTTTATCGTGCATATTTTTACGAATAAACCACCATCTCAAATAACTTTCCACCCAAAGTAGAAACATATAATGTTAACTAATGCCACTTTTTATCCTAGAGCACTCCCATTTGAACAAGATACAGCGCATGCTACAACAATCACAATTTGCAGCCACCAGGTCGTGCACAACTCAATTCAATTTAATGCGCATGGAATTTAATTTATCAACGAACGTTAGTCTCAGCAAAAGAAACGTTGCGTAGTAGTTAGTAACCGAATTCACCAAATGTCCCAATTCACCCTCGATAGTACATATTTGAACGATTCCAAAAAGATCATAAGCGAGAGGATTATACCCTGGGAAGGACTCGCGAGATCTAGAGTCGTCACTGAAGATGATGCTAATCATATAAAAATCTTGGAAAAACAATCCAACGACAATAGAGATAATACAGTTAAGTCACAATTGGACTTGTATTCAAAAGTCTTGCTCAATGTTTTGAGTAAAGTTGATAAAGACGACGTTGTTAAAAATGTGTTGACATTGATCAATGATTTGTTGATTAATGTACCTGAATTTTTGGATGCCCTTTTGAAATTATCATCAATTGATAAAGGCTTACCTTTTGACCCATTTGTCACACATTTGGACAAGGATCCATTGATCAAGTCATTAGCATTGTATAATTTGGCTATTCTCGCTAAAGGTTCACCAGATAAGGAAGTCGTTATCACTACCTTTAGTGCAATTACCCTGCTTATTGAAAATACCGATTCAAATTTCCAATTTATTGGTATTCAATTACTTCAAGAATTGGTTTCCAATAGAAAATACAAGACAATTTACCAGGAAAACAATCTTTTGACAAACTTCAAACCAATTAATGCATTGATCACAAAGCTGTCTACTCATCCCAATGCAACTGGTTTGCAATTGTCGTATAATGTTTTGTTGGCAACATGGATATTATCCTTCAATGCTGAAATCAACCGATCAATTATCCACAATTTTCCCCAAATTGCCGGTAGTCTTTTATTGATTGCTAAGGATTCAATTAAATTGAAGATTGTTAGAATTTCAGTTGCAGTGTTGAAGAATTTTGTTAGTTGTTGTGTTTCTCCCCAAGAGCAATTTAAAGTAGTTAAGTTGTTGTTATTCCATGATGCATTGACCACAGTGAAGACATTGAAGGAGAGAAAATTTGCTCAAAATGGAAGTGATGAGGAATTATGCAGTGATCTTGCCTATTTGTCAGACACATTGGAAGAAACAGTAAAGACCAAATTGACTTCATTTGACGAGTATCTTACTGCTTTAGAAAATCCTAAATTATTGAGTTGGGCATCGCCTATTCATAAATCGAGTGATTTTTGGTTGGAAAATGCTGGCAAATTCAAAGATTCAAACTATAAATTGGTAAAGAGAATTTTTGACGTCTTAAGTGCAAATGCCAATGACACTACAATTTCGGTAGTATTGTTGAATGATTTACAGTACTTGATTAAAAACCTTGGACAAGATTTGATCCACTTTATCAACACTGAAAAGGGAGGACTGTACAAGGTGTTGATTATGTCGTTTTTGGAAAACAATCAAGGAAACAATGAGCTTAGATATGAGGCATTAAAAACAATTCAGTTGCTTGTGGGGCATAACTTTTGAATAGATCTTTGAAGGAGATTTTGTATTTTATATAAACTTTGTAAGGTCGTATTGTAGACTCGTCTGGTAAGACACGCTCGGAAAATAAACAAAAAAAAAACAAACAGAAGTCAAACGTATAGCTGAGATCAACCAATTTCATCAATGAAGGATGATTCTATGATATATATAGACAATAGGGCCGCAACGTTTGAATATCCTGTTTCTGCAGATGCAAAGACATACACATGGTCAGATATAATTGACTTTCCAGGTACCAGTGACTTGGTAGAGGCAGGATTCTACTATTCACCACACAAGAGAACTACAAGCCGTATTACCTGTGTGTATTGTCAAAAATCAACTACCGTCAAGAACAAGCTGACCTTTGAGAAAATAATATCCGAACACGCCAAATGCAGCACAAGATGTCCCATGGTCATGCTTTCACATACATTCTACTCATGCCGTGGCCTGCTAGATGACAATGAAATAAAAAAGTGCTGGACCAAGTCTAAATTTCGAGATCCATTCAGTCAAGAGTCTGTCAAGTTTCGAGCCAAATTTTTCAAGAATTTCCCCTTGGATGATACAGATTACCACCCGAATTCAACTTCATTGAGTGAAGCTGGGTTTATCTACCTGCCACGTTATGACGGAGATGATAGGGTGGTTTGCGCTTATTGCCATTGTGCTCTAGACTCTTGGGATCAACAAGATGATCCAATTGAGGAGCATTTGAGCAACACTTCAAGTTATTGCTACTTCTTGGATAAATATGTGGAGAGGAAGCAAAATGTGAGCAAACGGGACCAGCGGTCGCCCTTTGATGAGTCTTTGAATTTAGATGATTATGATATAGAAGATGTAGGTGTTGGAGGAGATGAACTTGGTGATACAGAGCCACAATCATGTCAACACCCCGAACAGGATACCAAACAGGGAGAAGCTCCAACTAGACTGAAACACAAACGTCATCAACAAACATACATCAAAGAAGATCCAAATTTGAAATATTGGAAAAAATTACCAGACGAAGATTTATTACAAGAATTTATTCAAGTTTCAAAGCGCAGTAATACTGAACCAACCGATATTGGAAACAAGCGTGGCACAGAACTAGCAGGGGATACTATCACTGCAATTGAGGAGCAAGATCAAGGGAATAAAGATGGCTCAGTTGTAAACGACAACAACGTTAAAGCAGGATCCGTGCTTAATCAAGATAATGAAAGGAAGGATCATGGCTACTCTAATGTTGACAGTGGTAAACCAGTGGACGATATAGACGACATAGAGCAAGATGAGTCTGATCAAAATGACAACATTGTACAATCATCTGACAGTATTGAAGACAGCATAGAATCAAGCTCTCACGACGAGTACGACCCAACATCAACAGACTCGTTCCATCCTACTGAAGATTTAGATGAATCTATTGTTGAGATCAAGCCAAAACAGACCAAGGTTAAAGCACCAAAAAGTGACAAAATTGATAGAGAGACAACACCACAACTTGAGGAACCTCGAAAGCGAGTTGGTGATAGTCTATCGCCTTTGCGCCGCAAGAAAATAATTAAACGAACCATGCCAGCACCTGTTTTTGAAGATAGCTCCACCGATCAAGACTACAACGAAGCACACATTGTCAAATTGGAGAAAAACATTGTAAAAACAAGCACGATTTTGCCTTTGGAAGACAAGAGTTTTGAACAGCCAGAAGTTTTTACTTCTCCAGTTCGTATGTCACCTACTAAACTACTGGAACTGGTTAAGAAAACCGAGTCTATCAGGCCTAGCATATTTGACCTGTCCTGCGATATCACAAATGAGGATGCCGGAGGTGCTGACAAAAAGGCGGAGAAAAATTCAGGCAAAGCAAGTTCAAAAATTGATAAAAATGGGGAGACAGAGGTAGTTGGTATTAAAGATGGTAGGGAAGGTTCGATTGAAAAGAGCATTGATAAGGAAACTCCAATCCAGGGCGCTCATCAAGACTTGAAATCACCAAATAAAGAAAATGCAACCACGAAAAACGAGTTAAAAAATTCGGAAAATCCATTCGTGGAAGCAGAAACAATTCAAGCATCCAGTACAGTTAATAACCCCTTGACTGATGTTGAGTTCAAGAAAGTTAACGATGAGAGTTTGAAAAAAGTGGATGAGAACCAGGATGTAATTAATGTGAAAGATGGGGTGTCCACAGTCAATGATATGCAAAAGGAGAGCAATGAGCATCACAGCTTCACAGAACGTCCAGAAGTTGAAACACAAAAAACGCAGCCATCTGTTGAAATACAATCGGCTAAACAAGAAAATAAACTAAGGTATCAAACATATTTTGAAGCTAATCCTGAATCCTTACAGGACAAAGATTCGGAGCTGGATTATTCCGATTATCTCAACGAAATAAATGAAGTAGAAAAACATTTCGAAATCGAAGATCCTTCTGAGGAAAGGATTGTCGAAAATGTTGCACCAGAGCACACAGACCCACCTCAACAAAGTCAAGAAAATGGAGACGTTAGTGCAAATAAACCCAACGCTAATGCACTTGCACAAGATGTGTCGTCGAAGGAAGTGGCTAATCAATTCGTTTCACCAAATAAATTGTCAATTAAATCTGCAGAGAAAAGGCTACTCCAAGTTGACCAAGAAGCAAAATCTCCAGTCTTGGATGAATCACCAGAGCTGATAAAACCGCCAAATGGAGATGAAGAAACTCGCCAACCCCTGGATAAAGATTTAAACAGTCGCCAATCACATGAAAAAATCTCAGAGCATATATTTGAGTCAACAAAGTTGGGCCATCCTTCTGGTGCTACCGATAGTCCCTCTCAACAAGCAACTGCAAAAGACCCAAATGAGGACAAATCAACGGTTGATAACGTCGTAGCCAATTCAGCTAAAGTTGATCCTACAGAAAACAAAGAAACAAGAGAAATAAGTCAAGCAATAGAGCCAGATGATAATTCTGATCTGACAGGTCCGTTAGCAATGGATTCGTCTTTAGATGATGATAATACTAGTGCAGTTGAAGAAACACAACCACCTTTTATTCATGAACCAAAATGGAAGGCAAAATCCATGCAGCGATTTGCACAGCAAATGGAAAACTTGGACAATAGTTCAAAAGAGCTCAAGACACTAGCTAATTCGAAATACGATCTTCATAACGATTTAGATGGCGATTTAACAAGGTTTATTGCTGAAATGCCAGAAGAAGAGGAGCAAATGACGATCGAACAGTGGATAGAGCATTGTGCTGCTAACTGCAAGGACATTGTAGCGCAGTCGATTAAAGAAATGAACCAATACATTCTCGATGAATATGATCGTGCCATAATGACTTTAGAATCGTTGGAAAAAAGCTGATGAAGTGAAGGGGTGCTCTTGTTTTTTTTTGTATACGAGTCTGGTGCATTGCAAATTGGAAGTACTTTATACTGGATGTAGTTTAGCTTATGACATAGTTTCAAGTGCATCTGATTCACTCAACTTTGCACTCTACAAATGCCTGTTTTCATAATTTCTCTATAAAATTGGTTGCGCTGTGTAATTTCGTAAATTTTTACTTTGATCCAATTTCATGGAACAAATCTTTTGTGATACATTGACAAGCAACAACCCACATTATTCCTTATCGACACACATTCTGCTAAGCCAAGAAAAGAGGATAGGACTGGGTTGAAAACTGGAGCCTATCGATCATTCTTTAAAAAAATATGTCGTTTTGGCCATTCAGCAATTCCTCGCTGAACAACAATACGTTGCTGAAGTTTTTGGATTCGATCCATGATCTTTCGTCCGTGACTGTTGATGATATTGTCAAGGATCCAACCTTAGTTCAGGAGTTACTCAATGAATTGCACAGTGTAAAGGGAAATATCAACAAGGGTGCTAGTTTTCTATTTTCGCAGTCTAACCCCGATCCTTCAGCAATGTCAGACTCAGCATCATTGAATTCACAGAATAACGACAATAATAATAATGGTGGATCCAACAAAGAGGCAAAGGGGATTAAATTAATTGAACTTTTAATACAGCCTCATATTTTATCAGAACTAATTGAGATTCTAGAGAAGAGTGTTGAGTTTTTTTACCAACAAGGGGTAAAGGAAGAGGAGAATATCAAAAAGGCATTAGAGGAGAATAAACCAGCAACAGATATGGAAGAGGTGGACGAAATAGATGAAGCAAAATGTGAAAACAAGGATGAAGCATTTCGCAGATCAATTCAGGCTGCAGCTGACATCCTTTCATTTGATATTTGGATCATCCCAAGTAGAATAATTGAGACACCGAATCTCATCAACAAGCTATGGCTGATAATAAAATTGGAACATTTACAGGAAAACTACCCCAGTGTATCCTATCTTGTGCATATTTTGGACCAGTTGTTGGAGTTTAACAGCATCGAACTTTTGAATTTTGTGAGACGTCAAGGTGATCTTGTCGATACATTCTTGTCCAAGATTGAAGTGCCAGCAATTATGGACTACTTTTTCCGAATAATTCAAACCGACAAAGCAGATTCACCGACGGGTATTCTTGACACAATTGCGCTGCAAGATTTAATCCCGAAGCTAGTCGATATTTTGAAACCTCAGCCCGTACAGTTTGAGGACACCCCCTACATTCCTGATCATCAATTATATTTTCGCCAAAGTTCTGCAACAGACTTTTTAAAAGCTTTGATTACAATTTCATCCAATGCTGCTTTGGCAGTTGTAATGGAGACAAATATAGGACCCAATCAGCTAACGCGGCAGTTGGTGTCACCAGAAGTGATTAACACCATCACACACGATATCATGTTGAAAAAAGTACAGGGTAAAGATGGCAAAGTTCAAACCAACAAACACGGAATCAACAATTGTGTCAGTATAGTTATCGAGCTTATTAGGAAAAATAACTCCGACTATGATTTAAACTGCGGCTCGTATAGCTCAATGCTTCAAAATGGCGACGGTGGTCCTGGCGAAATGAACTCCTACGTTATGTTTCAATGGCTTAGAGATTTTGAGCAAAACCCTCCTGGCCCTAGAGATCCCCTTTACTTGGGAGACATGTTGGAGATTTTCTCTGACAACTTGCATAAGTTTGAGGAGTTGCTAGAGATAGAACCAATACCTCCCATAGGGGTGAAGTCAGACATTTTGGGTTTTACAAGGTTTAAAATATCCGAACTTATTGCCGAGCTTCTTCATTGCTCCAATATGACTTTATTAAATTCTAAAAAAATTAGAAAAATTATTAACATAAGAGATCATATTCGATTGCAACAAACAAAGCGTTTGAAAAAGGCTTTGAACGAAAGGATTGCATTTGTGGAAACTCCAAATATCCAAGATGTCACGTCTGGTTTAGATGACGTATCATTGGATGATGTTCAATTTGCCGATGATGATAAGCATGATTATTCCAACTTAATTAAAAATATAGAGTCAATCGAAGATTCAGAAGACGAAGAACCTTCCATTTCACCTGAGAATCCCTTTGTTTGTGAAGAAAGAAATAATGCAATCAGGCTGGATCCTTGTGTCGGGGACTTTTTCAAAATCAAACTTATTGATCTGAAAATGTTGGTGAGTATTGTTAGCAAGTTCACTAGATATGAATGGAACAACTTTTTCCATAATGTGGTGTTTGACTTGGTGCAACAGATATTCAATGGGAAACTCAACTCGTACAATTCATTTTTAATAGTGGAGCTATTTAAAAAAGATCAATGTGATTTGACGAATCTCATTGTTGGAGCCTATGAAAATGAAGTTGAACCTCGACCGGGTTATATGGGACATTTGATACTTATTGGGGAAGAAATTGTCAAATTCACCTCATTGTACAAGCCTGATCTTATATCGCACACGATAGTTGATGCCATCCTGAGCAAGAAATGGAATTGGTTTGTTAATGATATCTTGGCAAAGACAAGGGAGGTTTACAATGTCGTCTTGGGGGCAGACGAAGGGGATACCGATGCGTTTGACAACTCAGAGGACTATGTCGAAGAGCCCAAGAAGATCATTCTTGGCGACAGTTCCAACCATGAAGAGTTTGTGCATGATGACGAGGATGAAGATATGGAAGGTCCCAAAGTAGCTGATGTTGAGGTGGGAAAAATGACGCCGAGTGGAGATATACCTGAACATGCTATGGATGAAGATGAGGATATAGAGGATCCAATTGACGGTAATGGCGTAGATAACCTATCGGGAAGCTCATCGGATGACGATGAAGATGAGGAAGAGGAAGGAGACCTGGGGAACGAATTACGACGAATGCCCAAAACTGAATGAATAATTTAATTTATTTATAAAGTAACCCCCTTCCTCCCCATGGATCTATTTCTTTCTACTATATACTACCTTTCCATTTGGTAATTCCATCTTTTTACCTTTAGATTTCTTCTTTTTCACTTGTTCGACCTCCTGGTCTTCCTCTTGTGGCTTTGAATGTGGCTTCTTGTAAGTGACAGCTGTATCAACAGGAGTTAGAACCTTTCCCAACGTCAAATTATACAACCCAGCGGGTATTTTGAAAATTAACGTGTCTTTAAAGGTGGGATTCACATTAATGTCATACTCATCAATTAGATGAAGTCCATCGTCATTTTCAACATAGACATCTCCTGAACCTTTGACCACAAAAGAGGTATTGTTTACCTCATTGAATAACTTCCTATCGGAGCCGTCTGAAGGTGGTACTATCGAGCCTCCCCAGGCCTGACTTTTGATTTGATTTTTGTAATCAGCAATCCTCTTGAAAGATTGTCTTCTGTTAATTTTCAAAGCAAAATAGTGTAAAATGCTAACAAGGATGTAAACCACAAGCACTGTCAAAAGTAAACCTGGGCGAAACTTGGAGTAGAGATACCCCGTCCCCTTCCATGTCGGGAAACCTTTATCCAAAAAGTAATCGTACCTCTCTTTCCTCGAAATGTCTCTTAAGATGTTGTTGACGGAAGATAGCATGGCGTATTTCTCTTCCGCCTTCTTCCTTGCAGCATTGGAATTGAACGACAATTTGTCCGGGTGGAGTGTTTTTGATAATTTCCTATATGACTTTTTGATTTCCAATGCTGTTGACTTTGGTCCATTTGGCAAGTTGAGCCAGTTATAAAAAGTAACATCCGAGCCCAATACTTGTCGGACTTTGTCATTGAGCTTGAAAATCTCATAGTCGTCGGCACTCCAGGCACTGACAAGGCCAAAGATGAGGAGGATTATAAATAGGACCTTCATAGAGGGTGTCTATGAGCTTGGAAACAGACAAAGACAGGCGGATTTGGGATCAAAAAAATTTCACCTTTGAAGATAATACGTAGCCCTTTCGCGTTTCCTCTATTTTTTTAATTTTTTTTGGAAAATTGTTACCTTGTTTAACTTCTTCAGACTCATCATCATTATTGAGTTCCTTGTATACAACGCAGGTTCCACAAGTCCAGTCAATCAGCTTTCCAGATGCCGCTATATCCACTCACTTTTAAACAAAGACTACTATTCTTCTACAATGTCGCCTCGACGACTCTTTGGTTTTGTTGTTTCATGAGGTTTTTGATTCTACTACCACTAGTTGGGAGACGCTTTCTCCCAGGAGGAATTGCCGATTTCTTTCACGTTGTGGCAGTGTCACCTCTCATTGGGTCACTATTGCTTCTAACCTTGGACGCTTCAAAATGGAAGTCACAATTATGGCCGTTACTAAATGGTATCAAAATGGTGTGGATTTGTTATGGGGTAATTTTCCCTCACCCCAAAATTGCCAAACATACGTCTTACTCGTTGCTCGTAACGGCTTGGTGCTTACAGTATATTATTCATGATAGCTATTACGCATTCAAAGTCAAAACAAGGACATCACCATTTTTCTTGTTTTGGTTGCAGTATAACAATTTTTACGTTGTCTACCCATTGTGCGTAATAGCAGAAATGATTCAAGTGTTTTTGAGTTTGTCCTATGTTGCTGAAGATACCCTTCACGAATTGATCTTGAAGACATTGTTTGTGGGGTATATTCCAGTGGCATACTTTACATGGGGTCACCTCAAGTCGAGGAAAAATACCAAATACACCGAAATTATGAGGAAAAGAACAGTCACATCTAGTCACGAAATGTCCACTAATGTTTCAACATCATCAGCAGCAAGAAGAGAGGCCAACTCGTAAATAGATTTGTTGTAACTATTAGATATTCCAATTTAGATGATGTGCGGCTCTGACTATTTAGAATTTTTTTTTATTTTTTTCATCATCCATTTTTTTTTCACTAGAACCAAACAGGGCCCACTATATTACTCCAAAGCTCACAAATGATTACAAAATACTTTGCTAATGTGCTGGTTAGATTTAACCCCTTTACTTCCGGAGCCAAGAGCGCGAGGATTTTTCTCTCCCGAATGCCACCCACAGCCAAGGTTGACTTTAAACTTCTAAATAACCCATCTGCTCAACAAGAGATTAAGGTGTCATTCAAAGATAAGCATGTCATGACAGCAGATCCTAGTACTATGAATGTAGCGGATTTGGGAGATTATTTTGATTCGCATTCAAGAAAATTAGCGATCAAGGATTCTATACAAGAGTAGATAATGCAACTGGGTTGATTTTGAGGTTTAGGAAGCTAGTTGATGAGAAAGATTGGCGGGTTTGCTTTTCAAAATAGAAGGCCAAGGCTTCTAATAGCGAACTACAAACTGTACATAGATCTTTTAATAAAAGTTTTGAAACCATTCAGGTACAAGCTTGTTGAATATTTGCAATTCTTCTGCACCAGTGACGGCCTTCATATTCAAATGGGAGTCCATTAACTCGGGCTCCCTCTCAAATGATAGTTTGAAAACGTGCCGACGGTCATCATCAAACTGTTTCTGACACAACCAACAAATCACAAGATTGTACCACTGGAACATGTGTTTTGTTTTTATACTACACCCGTGTGTGAGAAATATAGGCAAAGCGTTCAATCTACCGATTAGCTCACATTCGGTATATTTCTTAATTGACGCTAGCTTGAAATCCATTGATCGAAAACCAATTAGTGAGTAATTGCATGAAATGAACTTGTTTTGACAGTACAATGTCATCAATTTTCTTTGAAGTTTGTTTGCAGTTTTGAACTTGTCGTCCAAAAGCTTCGAGTGCGTCTTCAACTCGACATAGTTAGCTAAACCTGGTTCTTTTGAGATTGCACAATCTATTTCAGCTGAATAACAAACAGGGTTATCTCCAACTGAATGCTGGACAACTGTGTAAAAACGGGATTTTGAGTCTCGCATTGTTTCAGTTACTACCTTCTCAAACTCGTAACCACTATATTGGTACATCCTTTGGTAGCTGTCCAGGACTAACTTCATCTCTTCCCCCCAATCGTAGGCAAATATAATTAACCCTCGCCAATAAATGACATTGAAATTCACCTGTTGTTTGTTAAATGGAACGCACATCAACTTCATCAAATGTCGCCTCATAGTGAGAACCTTGAGCTTGTCTCGAGACAACTTGCCGCTTTCAATCAAATACTGCAATGACCTGAATAAGTCATTCAACAGGTACACATCATTCAAGTTAGGAGATACAAAATCATCGAACCCCTCTGTGAGGCAGGTGCCTATAATCGGTCTATCTTTTTCTCCTCCTTCTTTCCTCTTTTGCTTTTTCTTTTTGTTTTTGGATGCGAATGGTATTTTAAGCTCATCAAGACCACTGTGATTGGCAAAGTTTAACTCAGTCTCATCTTTTGTGTAGTAACATAACTCCTCCGGTTCGCAGCTAAATGCTCCTCCTACCTCCAAAGCCGCATTCAATTCCTCTTCATTAGCAATTTTGGATCCATTGACGATATTTTCAAACAAAGAGAGCCTGAGTTTATCTAGCATCTCCTTGCTTTAGATCATCCGCTCGAGCGGGCGCAAAAAGCAAAACATTTGACCTGCAAATATTCGGAAAAAAAATATCTTTGAACCCACAAGCCGCTTCTACCGCGATATCAATGATGATTACATCCCACAAGGCATCAGCGAGACAGAAACTATCTAGCCTTCTATCCAGGGGCTGCATTAACTACAAACGTTTCAATTCGACATATGTTCCACCAATTAGCTCATTTTCGTACATCCACGACGATGCACTATCTGATATCAGCAAAGAGGAAATCGCTAAGCATATGCAAAACTTGGGCCCATTCCCAAATTATTCCAATATACTCAATCCTCAGCACTTTTACCAGAACACCGTATTGCTAGATTACCTGAAGAAGCATCCTCATCCGGTGTCCTTGCGACAGTTAGCTGGTTATGGAAACACATTGACGAAACAGAAAATTATCGCTAGTGCCAACTTTGTTCGACTTGAACTTCCCATTAGATTAGCAATGAGGATTCGTGATCTACAAATATTGCCTTTTGGGGTGGTGAACAACTTTCACATGGCGCAGATATATGAAAGCTACTACCATCTGTTTAATGCGTTTCGCAAAATTGGCAAGATAAATACGATTGAAGATAATGAGAAATTCTGTGCTGTATTGTCGGCATTGTTGGATGACCATACCTTCAACTTGTCCCACTTGATGATGGGAGCATTGGAGGTGTCAATTGCTGAAAGTCTTCCACAAGAGCGGTTGGACTCGTTTATGAGTACCATGTTGAGGTCACGAATTAGCAGGCGACTCATTGTTGAGGAACATTTGTCGTTGAGTGAAAACTACCGCAAAAAGCCGTATGATAAAAAGCCGCCACACTATCTTGGGGAAATATTCCAAAACTGTAAAGCCATTGACCATTTCAATGAAGTCGCCGAAAAGGTTAAAGAATCGTTGTGTCACCAATATCCACAAGCTGAATTGATACCGAAGTTGGAAATAGACGGTGATTTGGACTGCGAGTTTCAATTTATGGTGCCTCATTTTCACTACATGTTGCACGAAATACTTCGCAACTCGTTTGAAGCAACATTAAACACAACAAAGGATAATGATGCCTTATCCCCGGTGAAGGTGACGATAATTGACCTGAGGCAGGAAGTGATTTTCAGAATATCGGATCAAGGAGGGGGACTTCATCATGACAAGTTGAAACTGATTTGGTCCTTTGGAAAGTCGCCGGAATTGGCAAGAAAGAGTTTGGCAAACTTCCATCGCATACCAGGGTTGCAGATGTATTCCAACTTGCAAGTAACTGCATCAGGCTCGTCGGTGGTGAATCCTAGAGCGACTGATACGGATGGAAACTCTGTCGAGCGGAAGTCAGAAAAGAAAAGGTCAACTTTAGAGGATCTCATGGCAAGACCGCACGAGTACAAATTAGGCATGGGATTGCCAATGTGTTCTGTTTACGCTGACTATTGGAACGGGCAATTACAAATGAATTCATTAGAAGGATACGGCTGCGACACTTCACTTACTTTGAGCAAATTGGGATACCACAGTAACGTCATACAACTTGACAGGGCTTGATACAAGCGTGTATTATGTATGTGTATAGGTGATATACTTTCAATGTATTTAATGCGGACTTTTGTGGAGTGCGGCTTTTTTCAGAACAGGTTTGTTCGGAGTTGGATCGGAGACAACGACAAAACACTCAAACAGCAAATACATACTCTACCACTTCCAATAAGCAAATACTAAAGAGGCCAATAGAAAACTTGCCTTGTATTTTTGCCGAATCTGGGCATAATTTGAGGGAGAGGGGAGGGGGATGCATCCCTCAGCAGTGTATTTTTCTTTAATTCTCCGCTCGATATTTTTCTCCCCCACACAAAAAAAAATAAATAAAAACTTTGGTGGTGGGTGGTTCAAAGGGAGGCATTTATTTTTAAAAAATCACTCGGTTAAGGCAAAACCTGACTTTACATATTTAATTAGACCCAGTCACTAAAACAATAACCATCATCATATTTGTGTACAAAAAGGGAAGCAAGAGGTTAAAATGCAATCAACGTGCTTATACTTTCCGGAATTGGTCTGTGTTATTATTGGGTAAGCTTTTTGATCCGAGTTATATTTTCGTACACGGAATTCTACATCAGCACACTCAATTCAAACAATTGGAAAACCACTTTGAACTCTTTTTTTAAGACAGCATGAGTTAAGAATTATACATTGTGCATTGTTATTGTTATTGGGCCTGGGGTAAAGAACTCCAAGACAGTTTTGTTACACAAATTACCATTTGCGCTAAATTTACTCACCTTTACAGAAACTACGTGATTAAATATTACTGCAACTTTAAATTTTTCACAAAGAAAAAGGGGGCTAAAAAATTGTGGGAGGAGGGGAGGGGCAGTAAGTGTTGGGGAAGTCTCATGGAAAGTATAAATATGCCAGCAAAAGCACTTACATTTGAGCTAATTTTTCTTCTTTTTTATTTTCGGTATCGGAATCAGTTCCTAAAACACAATCTATATTAATCACGTCAATCAACAATGGGTAAACCAAAGGTCTTATTAGTTCTTTACGCTGGTGGTAAACACGCACAAGAAGAAAAGAAGTTATTGGGAGCAATCGAGAACGAATTGGGTCTTCGTCAATTCATCGAGGAAAATGGTTATGATTTAGTTTCAACCACTGATAAGGACAGAGAAGGATCTGAGTTTGATCTGAATTTAGAAGATGCTGAAATTGTCATCACTACTCCATTTTACCCAGCTTACTTGACCAGAGAAAGGATTGCCAAGGCACCCAAATTGAAAGTAGCTATCACTGCAGGTGTTGGTTCAGACCATGTTGACTTGAACGCTGCAAATGAAAGAGGTATTTCAGTTTTGGAAGTCACTGGTTCCAACGTTCAATCGGTTGCCGAACATGCCGTTATGACCATGCTTGTTTTGATCAGAAACTACAATATTGGTCACTTGCAAGCTACTTCCGGAGGTTGGGATGTTGCTGCTGTTGCTAAAGAGGAGTACGACTTGGAAGGTAAAGTTGTTGCCACTGTTGGTGCTGGCAGAATTGGTTACCGTATTTTAGAAAGATTGGTACCATTCAATGTTAAAAAATTGTTATACTATGACTACCAGCCATTGCCTGCTGAAGCTGAAGACAAGTTGAACAAAGCCTCTCAGTTGTACAATGATGTTGACATTATCGTTGAAAGAGTCGAAAGTTTGGAGGAAATGGTCTCTCAAGCAGATATTGTCACCATCAACTGTCCATTGCACGAACAAACAAGAGGGTTATTTGACAAGGCCTTGATCTCGAGAATGAAGAAGGGTTCCTACCTTATCAATACTGCCAGAGGTGCCATTTGTGATGCTGATGCTGTAGTTGAAGCTTTGGAATCCGGTCATATTGCAGGGTATGCAGGTGACGTCTGGAACGTTCAACCAGCACCAAAGGACCACCCATGGAGAAAGATGCACAATCCATACGGCCCAGAATATGGTAACGGTATGACACTTCATGTTTCTGGTACTTCATTGGATGCTCAAGCCAGATACGCTGCTGGTGTTAAGCAAATCTTGACTCAGTACTTTGACAAGACATACAACTACAGACCTCAAGATGTCATTTGTATCGATGGTCACTATGCTACCAAGGCTTATGGACAACATGACGATGCTAAGAAAGTCCCCAAATAAATTGATTGATATTAGTTAGTTATTGTATAGGGTTACATCTCTTGAATAAACTTTATAGTTGAATTTACTTTCTTTTATCTTTTGTACATACATACATACAGACAACAGCTATATCACCTTTACATGAGATAGCGTGTTGACGCAGTTGTCAAATAACTCTACCAAACTGTCCTTTGGATTTATTGTGAGCATAAATGTTTGCCTAGGAGAAACTATCTATAGTCAAAATACTTTTATTCGTGATTCATAAACTATAATCGTATATATTGCCCAATGCTTACTTCTTGTCACGTTGTCCATAAGCTTTGGTAGCATAATCACCATCAATACAAATAATATCTTGTGGTCTGTAATTATGAGTCTTTTTAAAGTACTCGGTCAAGATTTGCTTAACACCAGCAGCGTATCTGGCTTGAGCATCCAATGAAGTACCAGAAACA